AAAAATAAAAAAAAAAAAAAAAAAAAAATATTTGTCTTGAAAGCACTCAAATCATGCCTATCAAGACAGTCCCTCAGTTGACCCTTTTAGATCTTCTTGGAAAAGTAGGTCTATTGCTGCCAAAAGCCTAAATCTGTTACAAAAGCTTAGTAAGTAAGGGATAATGTACAGTCATTATTGCAAAATAAACCCTGACAGTGCGATCAGGATCTTGTATCATCATGAAAGCTTTTATTTTGCGATAATTTTTTGCTGACTTAAAATTTTTCCACTTATTACATGGCTACTTGGCAAATAAATACATACATGGACATAAAATATTGATTTGAGTTGATGTTATTTTATTGTAGAAAACTTTCACTATATTATAGTCTAGAAAGCAATCAGCCTAGCTGTACTGCTGGATTGTGTGTGCAGATCTTCACGGTGCAGCTGTGCTTGGGGAACCAGATATGGGAGTCAGAAGGCAGCAGCATCAAAAAGGCTCAGCACTCTGCAGCTACCAAGGCCCTGACTGAGAGCGTTCCCCTCCGGCCTCCTCCCCGCTCACCTAAAGACGACAGCAACAGCAACCCAGGTACCAATGTGGCACAGGGACACACTGTGCTGTAAATTACAGCAGCTTTTTTCAACGGGGGTCCAGGGTGGTATTATAGGTCCACCAACTGAAAGTGTTTAACCACTATGTCCTGGTTTTTCACAGCAAGGTTATTTTCGTAAAAGAAAACTGAAACTAAGACTAAAACTATTGGTCAAAAATCATTTTCGTTAACTGAATAAAATTACAATTTCAAAATAAATTAAAAACTAAAACTAAACGAAACTAACAACAGTAACTGAAAAACTAACTAAAATAAAATAATAATTAGCAAAAATAAATAATCGTGTTCGTGATTTAATAAGCTCTCATTCTGTGCCAGAAAATCTGACCTGTGGTTGTTTAGGGAAATACCGCTTCATGCACGTGAGCTGAATCCTAAGCGGCTATTCACAGAGAATGCGTTTTTGCATTTAAAAAACAAGACGTGGGAAATGAAATGGGGAAATAACTATAAAATATGAAATGGGAAATAATAATAATGCACACCTTACAGCGCACGGACGTTTAAAAGCGTGTTTGACGTGCGAAAACAACATGAGAGTGAGTTAACAGAGACAGAATTAAAATTTTTGGATAAGCTGACTTTAGTGACTTTTTTCATTTTGTCACGCTTTACGATTACTATTGCAACGTCCGCCTCGAATCCATGACACGAGCACCACTTTGACTGTACAAAACGCATCCAAAATGAGAGAAAGAGGCAGCCGCGCGATGATTTCACCCCTTGCCGTGTCCTGTGTAAAAGGGGTTCTAGAACTGGGATTGATTGCGTTGCTCATCTGAAGCGCGTGCGCGCAGGAGCGGCTCGTCAAAGTAAAGTGCAAACGTAATTTAAATCACCATATCGCATTTAGTTTTGAGTAGTATGAGGTTTCAAAGCATTTTAGATTGTTTCTTTTTATTGTGTACGTTCATAGAGGGAGAGACGGGACTTACAGTAGTGTGCACCGGTGGCTCGTCTGTGCAAAAGATCCAACAAATGAATGCAATGAAAACACAGATGGACAAAAATTAAGTTTACAGAGTTGAAATGGGAAATAACTATAAAATATGAAATGGGAAATAATAATAATGCACACCTTACAGCGCACGGACGTTTAAAAGCGTGTTTGACGTGCGAAAACAACATGAGAGTGAGTTAACAGAGACAGAATTAAAATTTTTGGATAAGCTGACTTTAGTGACTTTTTTCATTTTGTCACGCTTTACGATTACTATTGCAACGTCCGCCTCGAATCCATGACACGAGCACCACTTTGACTGTACAAAACGCATCCAAAATGAGAGAAAGAGGCAGCCGCGCGGTGATTTCACCCCTTGCCGTGTCCTGTGTAAAAGGGGTTCTAGAACTGGGATTGATTGCGTTGCTCATCTGAAGCGCGTGCGCGCAGGAGCGGCTCGTCAAAGTAAAGTGCAAACGTAATTTAAATCACCATATCGCATTTAGTTTTGAGTAGTATGAGGTTTCAAAGCATTTTAGATTGTTTCTTTTTATTGTGTACGTTTATAGAGGGAGAGACGGGGCATACGGTAGTGTGCACCGGTGGCTCGTCTGTTCAAAAGATCCAACAAATGAATGCATTGAAAATACAGATGGACAAAAATTAAGTTTACAAAGTTTCAATGACAATTACAAAGAACAGGTTTCCTCAAATCCAGTACTGGAGGGGTCATTGTCCTGCAGAATTTAGCTTCAACCCTGATAAAAACTCAGCTGCTTGTAGCTTTCTAGTAACTCTGAAAACCTTTACATATAAGTTGCATATTTTTGGTTTTTGTTCAATTGTAAATAATTATTTTATTTTCATTATTAAGAGGTTACAAGAGTTAACTAAACTGTGCAAACATTCAACTTTGCTAAAATTAAATGTCTTGCTTTGGTCTACACTGGAAGTGTTCCATTAACTCTGCTAAACTATAATTACTAAAACTGAAACTAAAATATATAAAAACTAAATAGAAATGTGTTCACAAAATGAAAACTAAACTAAAACTAACAAAACCATTAATGAAACTAACTAACTTTTAAAATAAAAACTAATTAAAAAATTCAAAACTATAATATCCTTGTTTCACAGACAGGGCTTAAACTAAGCCAAGATTTGGCCATAGTTCAATTAGGACAAGTGATTTTTATAAACGAGCCTTAGAAAAAACATTACTGGGGCCCGTTCTTCATACGTCGCTTATTACATCCGAGATGAAATGTCACATCCAGGATGATATCATCGCGCTAATCAGGATCTGGCTAATTCGGTTCTTCAAACGCACCTGTTGTTGATGATTAGTATGGCTGGATTGAGTTATCTGAGATAATTGCGCATTCATGGGTTGGTTTAAAAGGGGCTATGTATCGATACTCGAAACCACGATCAGCAATGCAGCGATTGGCTGGCGGCAAGACAGCAACGTAATGACATCATATAATTAAAAAAGACACCTGATGAAAAACTTGACACATTTTTGGACTTTTATAAGGAAACAGCTTATAAACAGATTTTAAGTATCAATTCTGCTTAAAACGATGCAATCTAATCCTGTTTACATGAAATAAGCCTGCTCCCTAGCAGGTTTAAGTTTACGGACCTGTTGCTTTGACAGCAACTCCGGGATGAGCTTCGAAGAACCAAACAATCCAAGATCATGCCAAATCGTCAACAATCAAATGGCCCCTGGTGTGCATCTGGAGACAAAACAAAGGCACTGACATGTTTTAGGATTAATCAGTGCAAATTTCTTTCAGTTGAAACAGCTCAGACTTGCATTTTAATCTGGGACTAGGCTTAAGCCTTGTCTGTGAAATCGGGGGTATAAATATTTAACCAAATTCTAAATAGAATAAAATAAAATATTAGATGAAATTAAATTAATTCAAATAAGCTGAATGAGTAGCCAGTTCAGGATGAGAAAGTACAAACCTAATAGCCTAATTATAATTATAAACAGAATTCTTCAAATAAAAGTAAGTTAGTTAACATAAATCAGCGCGATAATCTGCTCAATTGGAGTCAGGCTGCTCCAGGTTTAAAGGCACTTCTCAAAAAACTTTTTGTTGTGCGATTTATTGGCCCAGAAATAATTGCGATAAGTGATATTATTGTCATTTTAAGACCATTTTATGCCACTTAATATATAAGCATAATATAATAGCATAATAATGCAAGAAGGCCTACACACTTTCAAATGACAACAAACTGTTAATTCTTAAGAATATTTAGATCATGGAAATTAAGTATTAAAATATTAGATACAATTCAAAAAAATTATATCTAATATTTTAATACTTAATTTCCATGATCTAAATATTCTTAAGAATTAACAGTTTGTTGTCATTTGAAAGTGTGTAGGCCTTCTTGCATTATTATGCTATTATATTATGCTTATATATTAAGTGGCATAAAATGGTCTTAAAATGACAATAATATCACTTATCGCAATTATTTCTGGGCCAATAAATCGCACAACAAAAAGTTTTTTGAGAAGTGCCTTTAAACCTGGAGCAGCCTGACTCCAATTGAGCAGATTATCGCGCTGATTTATGTTAACTAACTTACTTTTATTTGAAGAATTCTGTTTATAATTATAATTAGGCTATTAGGTTTGTACTTTCTCATCCTGAACTGGCTACTCATTCAGCTTATTTGAATTAATTTAATTTCATCTAATATTTTATTTTATTCTATTTAGAATTTGGTTAAATATTTATACCCCCGATTTCACAGACAAGGCTTAAGCCTAGTCCCAGATTAAAATGCAAGTCTGAGCTGTTTCAACTGAAAGAAACTTGCACGGATTGATCTTAAAATATATCAATGCCTTTGTTTTGTCTGAAGATGGAAACCAGTAATGTTTTTTTCTAAGGCACATTAATAAAAAATTAAATGTCCTAATTTAACTGTGGCCTAATCCTGGTTTAGTCTAAGCCATGTCTGTGAAACCAGGCCTAAATATCTGAGCATTTTCGTCTAGTTTTAGTCAGTGGAAACTTACACATTTTCGTCACATTCCCGTCTTACTGTATAATAG